TTTTCTTCCAGAAGCTCTTCAACTATCTCCTCTGTGGACTTTTCTGAATCTTTCTGTTCTGGAATGCCAATAATGCTTACATTATTCCTCTTCATGTTTTCCAACATGAATCTTAGACTCTTTTCAGATGACTTTAATCTGTTTAGCTGCTTGTTCTTCTACCTTGGCTGTTTTGAGAGATTTGTCTTCCAGATTCCTAGTTCTGGCTACCATCTTTTCTAATCTGCTCCTTTCCCCTTTAGTGTATTGTCCATTTCTGATATCTTATTACTGATCATCTGGACATCTTTTTGCAGGTTTTGTATTGTTTCCAATGCTGTATCAATCTTATTTGATTGTTCCTATGTTACTTTCCTAACTTCTTCCTTGTTTTCACCCACCCCTTTTTGGAGCATTTTAATTTGTTTCCATATCATTCTTCTGAACTCCTTCTCAGGCATATCCAGAACCTGCTCTTCCTCCTCTATAAAACCTTTTTCTGTCTCCAGCTCATTTGCATCAGCTACTCTCTTCTGGTTTTGGACGTGTTTTGATAAGATTTGTTGCTTCTTGTCATGGTTATTATTTTTGTTATTATTATTATTATTATTTTAAACTTAAATGAATGCTTGAACATTAGTTGTTTGATTACTGGGTGTCTCCTGATGAATATGACCAGAAGATAGGCTTCCCTTATCATATCTAATGCTTAGCAGGTGTTGTTGGGTCTTGTCTCAGTGGTGGAATATTATGGGGTATGCTTATGGCTTGGCTATATGGCCATGGTTGCTGCCTCATCTTAGGTATCATAGGGAGAAAAAAACTCCCACTTCCATGAAAGATGTGTGATCAAAAGGACCAAAATCAAAAGTAATATAAATGCATAGACAAAAATCACCCCTTTAGAGCAGAAATGAAGCTGTGGTGAACTGTCTCATGCTACACCATCAGTGTGTGTGCAATTAGAAGCCTCCAGCAGGGGGTGGGGGTGTCCACTCTCTCAGGCCCCTCATCTAGTCACTACTGTGGAGGTGTGCAGGTAGATATTAGTGAGTTAATGGGAGAAAGATTGCCCACTATTTTTGACTCTGAAGGTCAGTTAGTCATCTGCGTGTGCTCAGCATAAATCTCGAAATGGTTGAGTTCTGTTATGCTGGGGTTTTACAGATTGCTTTGAATTGGTCCTGCGCAGGGAGCTCCAGCAGCACAGCAGCCACGGATTGCAAGAACAATAGCTGGAAATTCCAAGCTGCTACCCGGGAGAAAGGTGAGGTACCCTGCCTCCATTCAGACCAAATTTTCACATAATGACTTGGTTTTTGGAAACTAACCAAATCAGTACGTAAGAAGTGAGTGTAGTCCTTTATTTTGGAATAATAGTATTACAAGAAAACTCTTAAATAATTCCTTTATGAAACAATTCTCTCTTTTGTTCTATCATATGAACCTTTAGTGTGCCATCTAATTCACATTTGTTTTCTGTATTAATTTACTAAGGTGGAGTACCTATCAAAGTAAGATAAACACAGACCTGTGTGTACAAACAGACTCTATATTATATACCTGTGGAACCAAGGGAAAATTACCTAAAATTTCTGACCCCTAGTTTCTTGAATGCCTTCCTCAAAGGATTGTGAGCTTCCAATAAAATAACCTGCATAAATAGATCTGTTAGTAGTTGGCAGATAGTGGTGATGGTAGTGTGCTGTGGAGTTCATTCCAACTCATAGTGACCCTGTACAGAGTTTCTGAGGCTTTACTACAACAGAAAGTCTCATCTTTATCCCTTGGATCAGTTAGTGGATTCGAACTGCTGATCTTGTAGTTAGCAGCCCAGCTTCCCATCCACTATACCACTAGAGTTCCTTTTGACAGATATCAGTAGTAGTTGTTGTTGTTAATTGCTGTCTAGTGGGTTTCAAATTATAGTGATCCTGTATAGGGTTTCTAAGGAATAGCTGGTGAATTTGAACCTCCAATCTTGCAGTTCAAATTGACCTCACAGTCCAGCAAATAGTAGTAGTAGTTGTTGTTAAGTGCAATCGAGTCAGTTCCGACCTATAGCAACCCTGTATAGGGTTTCTGAGGAGTGGCTGGTGAGCTAGAACTGCAGACCTTGCAGTTCAAACGGCTTTGCAGTCTGACGCATTAACCCACAGCTCCATACTCAAATAATACCTCTTGTTCCCATTTCCAGAACTGACATCTATTTACTTGCAAACCAGCTGACATCTATTTAGATGTGGATTGATCCTGATTCATTGATGCCTATGCCATTTAACTTGATAAATATATCTGAATATTATGTCTATCATTAATCTTCCTTCTGCAAAATTGGCTCATAATTTATAGTGCTAAGTATTATAGTTGAGTAGATTCTAAATGAATAAATTGAGAGTTGGTCTATCAATGTTTTGTGAGGAGGTTTCATATGAAACAGCCTTCAAAATTTAATTGAACTTAAGCACACAAATAAAAATAGCATCTCTGAACTGAACTTGCAAAGCTATGTTTCCAGACCTAAAATAACCTCATAATATTACAAATCTTCTGAAACATGGGATTTAATATTACACTGAGTCTATGATTGTTGTGCACACTAAAAGATAATATAAAACACCAGGAGCAGTTGGGTGGATCAACAGGTGAAGAATTCACTGACTCACTATGAGAACAGCATTTCCATAGTTCCTGGAAGGCTGAGACTGAGATGAAGCTTATAGGCTAACTTAGAAAGAAGGAAACAGTCGACAAGTTGATGTTTTTGGTTGTTTTTTGTTTGGTTTAGTTCTTTCTTCATCTCCTTCATCTTCCTCACCCATTCTGGCAAATACCACCAATCACTCCTATACAGAGAAAGCATTTAAAAGTTAATGTGATATGAATATTGGTAATGATGTCTACATCATTCCCCAGGAATCTCCAGCTTACCTGCTGGGATACAGTTTCCCATTTCTAGTAGGCTGCAGTGAAAGTCAGAAATCACAATGGCCTCTATGGGCTTGAACTTTGGTATGTGTTGTTTTGCTGCTCTTGCAAATTTAAACATAAATTCTTATGTTCACTTCCTAGATAATGCTAAGACTATTTAGCCTAGCCTCTCCAACAATGCAGGAGTTTCCTCTGTATTGTGACTTGTATATGATTTGTTGAATGTAAAACTGATTATCTTGTTCTGTAGATCATTTTAATGACAAGCTGCTCAAAAGTGTAATAAATTAACACATTTGATATTTAACATAAGGAGCTCTGGTAACTTGGTGGTTATGAGTTGGGCTGCTAATCTCACGGTCAGCAGTTCCTCGGGAGAAAGATGAGGTTTTTGGCTCCCGTGAAGATTTATACCCTCAGAAACTCCATTTGAGGTTGCTATGAGTCACAGCTGACTCCACAGCACATAACCACCAACAACATTAAACATTTCTTCCTTTTATCACAGCCAAATTGATCTTAAGAATTTTGATCACCTTCCTACTTCTGTGCTTTAGAAAACATGGAATCCCAGGAAAATCTTTTCTTTCCTAAATTCACCAATATAAAGCAGGTTATGGCAAAACCATCGGAGCAGAGGTAAGATAGGGGGTTGACAATCCTACTTCCATACCTACTTCTTATCTACCACACCATGGCAGCCTAAGGGTCCTTTTTGTGAGTACTTTTGGTGCTAGCATTCTGGAATTCTTGTTGTTGTTGCTGTTAAGTGCCATCCAGTCAGTTCAGATTCAGAACAATCCTATATAGGTTTTTCAAGGAGCAGCTGGTAAATTGGAACTGCTAGCCTTGTTCAAATCGACCTTGTGTTCCAGTGGTTTAACCCACAGTGCCACACCAGACAAACCCTGAGGGGAACTCTGAAAATAGATGCAAGAGAGAACATATCATTGAACTTGACTATGACATGCAAGGCCTCCCAGAGCCAAGTCCACCTTCTTCCCAAGGTCACGCTTCCTGCCTTCCAGTGCTTGGATCCCCTTTGAGGTTGCTGTGGTGTTCTGAGGCCCATGCCTCTCTGCAGGAAACAAGCTCTTGGTTCAGTCTCTGTAAAGAATAACTTACCACCTTCATGTTATTTTCAATGTATCCTCAGCCAGATATATGGTAAAACCAATTACTCTCTGCAACATATTGTTGCTGTTAAGTGCCATCAAGTTGGTTCTAACTCATAATGACCCTGTATAGGATTTCTGAGGAGCAGCTGGTGAGTTTGAACTATGACCTTGTGGCTAACAGGCCAGTGCTTATCCTACAGTGACAGTGCTGAGGGAGGAAATCACTTTGGATTTACTTTTTTTCTCACAATCCTGATTTCCTAGGACTGAAATTCCCATCAGCTAGCACACTTATTTGGTGAGAATAGGGAAGAGCATATGTGAAGCTTTGCTATGCTTTCCATGTTATGTGAAATCTGCTTTGGAATTTTATCCCCACCATGGGCAGGCTTAGCATGCAGAAGAAAAGTTTCTGAAACTGCCAACCATAATTTGTCACAACAGTTCTGAAAACTGGCACTGCTTGCCTGAAAAGGGATTAGCAAAAGCTTTAACTCATCAGGGCTGAGCTAGAGAAGCACCAGCTCACCTGTTTCCCAGCATGGCCTCAACCCAGTATGGCTTGGCACAGATTAAAATATGAAATGATATGTTTCAGCTTGCACCAACCATGTGACCAGAGTTGGAGGGAGAAAAGTTTAGGAATAAAGGACAGAACAAAACTCTGCCTTCAAGGTTTGTTGAATGCCCTGTGATTCTGGGTGACTAGCAGTTGTACACTATTCAGTGGTTAGAATTCCATAACTAGTTCTGCTATTAAGAATGATTCAGCAAAAGCCTGAGATCTATTTCCATGCACACACACAGCCCTTTTCTTTCTTTTTCTCTGAACCGTAGGGCGATCACTTATTATAATTTTTGTCTACTCAGAGCTGGACAATTTAATAAGTCTTTTCACACACATTTCCTCACTTACCTTTCTTAATGAGCCCTGAACTATGCATTATTTCCTCTGCTATCTGAAGTTCAGAGCACTTGGTGTCTTGCTATAGCACTTACATGATGGAGGTGGTACTTATGCCTAGGGCTGCTAATTTCAATGCTCTGTTCACTTCTTTCAGGGGTGATAAGAATCCTGATGGGGTGCCTGGTAGGGGTCACTGAAGGGTTGTTGCTGTTGTTGTTAAGTGCTGTTGTGTCAGTTCTGACCCATAGCGACCCTGTACAGGGTTTCCGAGGCTGTAAATCTTTACGGGACCAGAAAGCCACATTTTTCTCCCATGGAGCGGCTGGTAGTCTCGAACTGCTGACCTTAAGATTCGCAGCCCAATACGTAACCACTATGCTACCAGAGCTCCTCACTGAAGGGTAGAGGTACAGAATGTTTTGAGAGAAAAGAACAGATAACCTGAAGATACTGTGACCCTGTGGACCACACACACTCAAGATTGAGCAGACTGATGTGGAATGTGGCTAGCATGGTCAGCTCATTTCATTTGCCAGCTCTCTCCTATTTTTTCCACTGAAAATTCCATGTCCCAGAAGCCCCCTCAATATCAGGCAGTTGGTCACCCCATGTGTGAGTCATATTTTACAACTTAGAGTCCACCCAAATTTCTGGTAACACCTCCAGACTCAGAAGAATCTTCACCTCAAACTCAGATAATTCTAGAGGCTTCTGGGATGCCTTAGTAAATTTCTGCAAGATAACTTCCACTGTACCTGGACTTTAGGACATTTTGGCCCAAGTGGTTTACATTGAAATATTTTTAAAATCCAAGCATGTGGTCACCAATGGGAACCAATTTAATAATAGTAATAATAGTTGCTACTGTTTATGAACCAGACACCACACTGAATGCTTTATGATTCTCACCACTAAGAGGATATTTGTGCAATGTGATTGTTATTATTACCATTATGATATAGTGAATTATTTACTATGTCTCTTCTAGCCTTAGTCTTAGTAACTGCCATCAAACAACTCTTTTCCTGTTGGATCTGGGTAAGAGAAGGTGGGAGAAGATACTGAGGATGACATGATTCAGCCATAGGACTTTGTAAATAAAGTTCATTATCTTCATAAAAACTTGAGACTCTAGCATGGGTATAAAATAAACAACCTCAGAATCGGGGGAGTGGGACTCTCACTACCATCAAAGAAGAGCCAGGATTGGAGTGCATCATTTGGACCCTGAGATCCCTGTATGTTGAACCTCCTCAACCCAAGGACAGAAAGCTGTGACACCAGAGGAGTGGCAGAGGAACAGCATCTATAGAAACAAGAACCAGAGGACAAGACAGAGCAGTGGGTTTTTCAGTCCACAGAACAAGTAATGTTGAGTGACTCTGGGCAAGAAACTTGCTTGTAGAGTAGGATGCCTCCAGACACTTAAGTGGGGGAGCTAGGTTTGCTGACCCACAGACAGAGCTAGAGTAGAGCACCTTCAACTAAGGCTTAAGGTTGCATGGTGTGCCCTGTGGGCATTTATTAGCAGCTGACTGGAATAACAATACCCTGGACATTTTCTAATCCTGAATTGTAATGTGTTAGCTACCCAACCCAACAGCACCTAACAACAACAACAACTTCCTAATAAACTCCATAGCTATCTGAGGATTGTCTCTGACTTCTGTGTGGACATTGCAATAGGTTATAAAATCCAACTGAGGAGTAGAGAGAGAGAGCTGTAGGATGAATGTTTGGTGTTATCATCTTTTTTTTTTTTTTTTTTTGCAACCATTTTACAAATGTGGCTGCTGAGGTGATTCATCTTTATGAAGGCCCTAGACTCTGACCCAGGTTTATCTGATTCCAAAGCCCAAATTCCTGAATAGCACATTTCTCAAATTCATTCAGTTTTCCCTGCATCCCAGGCAAGCTAAAATTTCATGTGTATTTAGTAATAAACATTCTTCATTTGAGGCTCTTGTAATTTTTTAGAATGAACCAAAGTGGACAACAATTAGGATATTGAGTACCCTGAGAATCTGAACCCCAGAATTACATAGGAATATTGTATTTGGGCTTATAAGAGAAATTCATCCAGTACCTTTTCCAAAACTAAATTTATGACTTCTGTGCTACATTGTTCAACATGCCTACATTTTTAGTTCCATTTATTTGTAAATTGGTTTTCTTCCAAATTTCAACTCGTTATATTCTGTCTTGTAATCAGTTCTTTTTGTTTTTATTTTTTTGACAAATACAAGATAAAAACTTTATTAAACAAAAGTAACAGGTAAAGTTTAAAAGGCACTAATATGTAAGAGAAAAACTGACTAGAAGGAAGTTTAAACAATTTACAGAAATTTACTTGTAGTTGCATTTAACTGAGTTCTGTTGCTGTGAAGAATACATTTCATGCAACAGGTATGGATGAATTATTTGTACATTTTTTAAGTAT